CTTCCTTAGGTGCCACGATGGCTCTGCGGTCTCTTTTGTCCCTGGATGCTACCCCCAGACCCCCCGCTCCCTGTGCGTGGCCCGACCTGTCCCACTCCTGGCCCTGTAGCAGGAGGGGAGCATGAGTGATGCTTCCATGGGCCACTTGTATGCTCCAGGCCACCCCTGGCAGCCCTCCCTCAGTTACCCTCCCTCCCAGGACTTCTAGCACTCTCTGGGGCCGAGGAGCAAGACCGCTTTGAAATCAGGTGGCATTCACGTGCGTAAGCCACCGTTTTTATGCACAGAGGTAGGATGGATGGTCCGTGCTTGACAAGAGAAGAGGGGTTTTTGGGAGATTGGCCTGCAATTAAGTGATGCACTGGAGGTCAGTAGGGGACGGGCACTTTGGTCCTTTTGAATCCCTGCCCCAGGACTGGTCACAGACACAGAGCCACCTGGTTACTGACAACTCTCACTGCTGGTCAGCCACTCTACAAAATTCCAGTGTCCACCAATTCATCAACAAGTAGCTGTCAATTACCAGTTTTTGTGGTTCCTGGCACTGTATAAATTAACACGGATTTTTTAACTTAAGGCTTGACATCACAATGTGCTTGATGAGGCAAAGCTAGTGTAGGTAAAACAGTGGGGGAAAAAGAGCTCGAAGGTGGCCGTAGAAGCTGTCACCATTGGGAGAGCAGAACCAAAGGACAGGGCCTGCTGAGGCTTTGCAGAGCGCACAGGAGCCCTGCAGGGTCAGGGAAGGGAAAGCGCAGACATTTCCTTATCCAGCAAACATGTGCTGAGCCTGCAGCGAGGTGGCCAGCTCGAGCTGGGCCCGGGAATATTCCACGGAGCTGAGCAGGGCCCCACCCTTCCCTAGGCTGGCAAACTGGCCTTGGTTTCTGTGCCGGCTTCCAGTAACCCCAGGGCCACATGCAGGACTGCATCATGAATGGAGAATAAGACTTCATTTCACAGAAAAAGAGAAGGGCCTGCTGTCCTTCAGCGAGGCTTTTTCTTCATCTAGGGTTGGTTACCTCAGTAGTGTGCCGGGAAGCCCACTCCCAAAAGGGGGAAGAAAGGAAGAAGCCCTCGTTTGCAGTGTAGGCTGATTTCCATGGTGTAAATAAGCCCATCAGGACCAAGTTCAAGCTACCAGTGTGACGTCACTGAACGCATGGTTTGGGAAGAAATGTTTCAAATTGTCTCTGGCAAGCTGCTACGAGCCGGCTCCAGCATATCGCTGGTTCTCCCTGAGGCCCTGGGAAGAAGGTTCTCCCTGACTGTCACACCCCTGGGCTGCACATGGACTGTGACCCTCTCACAGTCACATGTTGTATGACTGGGAGCGTGAATCAATATAGCCATGCATCCCACACAAGCAACGGGTATCTCTAGCTGAGATTTATGGACTGCAAAATGGGAGTGGTCTGCCTCAAAGGGCTGTGCAGCGCATGGGTGCTCAGCAAGGGTGAGCCTCCAGCCCCCTCTCCCCCCCCCGTGAAGACGTAGGGCTGAAGGAGATGACTCCTAAGGGATTCCGTCTTGGACGATGATGAATATAGTCAGAGCTGCCCAGCGACGGTAGGGCCACTGTGTGAAGGAATTCGGTTCAAGGCTGAACACCCCCTGCCCTAGCCACGGACACAGGAGCCGCGGACAGGAAGGTTTGCAAAACCCCGCAGTCATGGATTCTGAAGGACCAAAAAACATCATTTGGTCCCACTGTGTTACGTGGACAAGCAAAAGGATGCAAAAAAGATTCCGATTCGATGAACCACAAACGGACACCTACGGGAAAGGGCTAGAAGGGAGATGATGAAGGCAGAAATAATGATTGGGAGTGAGAATCATGGTGATTTGTTTTATCTGTTTCCCTATTTTCCAAATGTTTGGCAGTGTGGCGGTGATGTTTTTGAAGCAGAGACAGTTTTATTCTTTAAGGAGAGCTGTGTAGTCCGACCCTCATCCCAGGACAAGACCTAAACCCGCAGTGCCCACATTCCGAGAGGCTCACGGGGCTTGACCCCAGGGACCTGGGAGGGGCACGGTGCTGACGGATGCCCTCTGAGGGCCAGGCCCTGTGCTTGAGATGGCGGGCTGGAGCCAGGGCTCCTGCTAGCACATTATCCTGCTGGGTCTTGAAACAGCCGGAGTAGAGCAGCAGATGGTGGAGACGGGATGGGGGCCCCAGTCTGTGGGTCTCCACTGCACGTTGTTGGAAGAATGTAAGGCAAGCGGGGGAGCTGCCCATTCAGTCCCGTTATTTGATGGAGGAAAGGTCAAGGTGGCAGCTGGGTCAGCAACCGTGGACAGAGTCCAGCTGACGGGAAGGTGGAGAGTTTCCTGTCCTGAGCTTTGGGGCTCGCGCTCACACACACACACGCATGCACACACAACCTCTGCTCAGGTCCAAAGCACTGCCAAGTCCCCTAGTGGTTCTCCCCTGAGAATGCCACCTCTTTGACAGGCAGCCCAACCCCATACCCCATACAGGCCAGCAACTCCCACAGCCTCGGCCCTCACTTCCTGCTCCCCCAGCTTCCCCTCTCCCCACCTTTCAGATGCCCCTCCCCTGCCTGGGGTGTAGCTCCTCGAGCCCCACCACCTCCTAGCTTTGCTCCCTGGAGAAAGGCCCCCCTGTTGACAGGCCGGCAGTCTTCTCCTCCCATAAAAGCCTCACTGAATCCTGGAGACCCTTGGAACCCAGACAGAATGGAATTTCTCCCTATTTTTTTTACAGCTGAGAAAACACACACACACACACACTCACACACACACACACACACACACACACGAGAGCATATTTATTGCAATATTTCTTTCCCAAAGTTTGTCTAAGAAACAAGAAATAAAATTAGTTTCTCTGCACCCCTCCCTGCATCCCGACAATGCCGGGCTTGTCCGGAGCCACGGAGGCACACAACCCCGAAAACAGACCCCAAAGTTCCGACGGAGCACGTTCTAGGGAAGAACAGGCTGTGCAGGCAGGTCTCAGAGGCAGCCTCCAGGGACCACTTCCTGCCTAGGACTGGTCACACAGGGTCTGAACAACAGCGCCACCAGTCAGCGACCCTGCAGTGCAGTGCTAGGCCTGGAGCCCCAGAGATTTTAGTTTGCAGGCAGTGTCTAGGGAGAAAATCCCCAAGGAGAGCAAAAGCCTGTGTCCTGGGGCTCTGGGGCCTTCCAGCCTGCCCTGGTGTAGGGAGCAAGCCTCAGGCACTCATCTCTGTCCCCCACCCCCAGCCCTTTCACATCTCAGGGGAACAACATGTGTGGAATGAAGGATAATGGGGCAAAGTGCCCCCAAAACGACAGGCTGGGGTCATCCAAGAGGGTCCCCCTGGGGTCCTGGGCCCTGCTCGCCCCTCCCTCGTGCACTCCTGGTACAGGAACCCCAGAAAACCCCATCCCCAAATCCAGCCAGCACAGCTGGTGGTGACTGGGCCAACAGTGACACCTGCTGGGCCATCAGCCTCCAACAGAGCCAAGGTCAGGCAGCCAGGCAGCTGCCCCAGCCGAGCGTTACTCTGGGAGTTCCAGGTCTTGCCTTCGTTCCAGGTCCTCCTTAAGCCTGTGGAGCGTGTGAGATGCAAACACTTCTGAAACCCAGACTAAATGCCCTCAACAACTGGAGGGGGTGCAGGGCTAGTGCCAAGGGCAGGTCCATCTAACAGAAAACTCAGGAAACACCACCGGGCACGTGTCACGGAGTGCAAGGCACAGGCGTCTGCAGCGTGACTGCACACCCTCTAGCCAGCGGTGCTCCGTCTTGGCTGCAAAGAGAAAAACCTCCCAGGGAGCCTTTAAAATTCCCTTGGAGAAGACCGAAGCCCAAGTCATTTCCCTGTGCAGCCAAGGCTGAGAAGCACTGCTCCTATTGAGCGCTTGTAAAGTCAGCTGGGTCTTCTCGGGGTCCCCTTGCACTGGCCCTCTTGGAATCAGGGTCCCCGTTGTGCAGGACATATGCTTTACAATGCGTTGTCACAGGTTTGTATACTTAACCATGATGGTTTTCCAGCACATGACAATGAGGAAGGCTTGTTTTTCTAATTCATGTAAGCCATTATTTGGACCAGCTGGAGGGCTGCAGGAGTCCTGGGCTCTCATTTCTCTCCTAAAGTATTAATCTGTCCATCCATCACCTTCTAGAGAGCTCACTAGGCGGGCAGCCTTTCCCTGATTTGAACCACGTCCTTGAATTGTGCTTAAAACTTTGGAGCATTGTCCGTTCTGAACACACAAGATTCCTGAACTTGAGGTTGGTGGCTGGTCCAGATTTCAGGACCTGGGGGAGTGTATTAGTCAGGGTTCACCAGGGAGACAGAACCGATGGTATGTGTGTCCATACACAGAAAGAGATTTAGAATAAAGAATTGGCTCACGAGCTTACGGAAGTATTCGGCACTGGGAACAGGAGGGGCAGGAAGTAGTTCCAACCTGAGTCTAAAGGCTCCAGATCCCGGAAGAGCTCATGTTTCAGTCTGAGTTTGAAGGCAGTTTGAAGGTCCGCAGGTAAGAGGAATTCCCTCTTAATAGGGGGAGGTTCAGCTGTTTTGTCCTATTCAGGCCTTCAGTGGGTTGGATGAGGCACCCCCACATTAGCAGGACAATCTGCTTCACTCTGTCTGCCTATATAAGTATCAATCTCATCAAAAAACACCCTCACAGACACGCCCAGATTTATGTTTGACCAAATATCTGAGCACCCTGTGGCCCAATCAAGTGGACACATAAAACCAACGGTCACAGGGATCCTTTAGGATGAATCTTTGCTGGTTGGAAGATGGGAGGCTCCCTCGAAAGGTAGGAGGTTTCCAGCCTAACACCTGTAATTAAACTGAGACGTGTGTGAAGGTTTTGTAAGGAGAGGATTCTTGGAGGAAATCTCTCTCCAACTGCATGCAGCCTGCTCATCTTGGTATGATTTCAGATCCATGGGCATGGAGTTCGTCATCTTGTGCTGTGCATCACATGACCCTCAACCCCACCTCCAAATAACACCTGTGCCTTCCCTCTTCCAGGTGAACTATGACCACTTTACTCTTGGTGTTTGTGACTCTGAGGGTCATCACAGCGGCCATCTCAGTAGAAGTTTCAGGTGAGGACATTCCCTCACATGTCTTATTTCTCCAGCAGGTACTGAGGACTGGATTCTGGGTGCTGGGTGCTAAGTCTGTGCTGCTAGACCCAAGGATAGAACTCCCCCTTTCCTGGCCTTTTCCTGGCCCTGCCCCTTTTCTCGAAGGCAAACATAACTGCAAGGGGACAGCACACCTGTGGACATGAACACATGAGTGTGTCCAGGGGCTCTTGCTTGGGCAACGCTGCTCCCAGCTGCCCCCCAGATGGACGGCTGTGGGGGAGAGCTCCTGGCAGGTGCCCACCTTCCTAGCATCCTCCCCATGGATCCCACCTACAACTGCCAGTCAGTGAACTTGGGATTGTAGCAAGACATAGATGAGCCAAAAGAGAGAAAGCTGCCAAGGGAGGATCGGCGGAACATCAAAGGAGAGAAAGTTGCCTGAGAGAGTCAGAACGAAGCCCCCCAAATCACACAGGTCTCGGCCTTTCTCGGCAGACCAACTGGGAAGCCCGCCACGTGGTCTCTGCAGGGGGCAGGCACTGGGTAGGCTTCTGATCATCAAGCCCTGAACCAAATGAACAGACTATCCATTGAGTCCAGGACAGGCTTGCCCCAAAGTGGGATGCGTCTCCCCTAGATCCAGGCAAGCAAGACGTCTGCTCTGGGCCAGGTGCTGACCCCCCTCCAGCCCCAGCACTCCCACTAAAGGACGAGGAGTCTGTCGTACCAATGAGACATGACCACCCAGATCCACGCTCCCCCTTCAGACCACACTCGGTCCCCAGGATGCCCTGAATTTCCTGTCCAAGGGGACCCAAGCCACTGCCAAGGCCGTGTGGGTCTCACCTCTGGGTCCATCCTCCTATGAGGGGAGCACACCCCTGGTGGGAGCCGACCCTAGGCCCAAGGGGGGGTTAGTGGGGGCTGTTTGTAGGGGTGTGTGGACAGAGCTGGGGTGTGGGCTGGATAAACACAGATCTCTCACTGTGCACAGCAGTGGTGGGAAAAGAAGGGGCCTGGCTGCCCCCACCCCACAACACACACACTTGCGGCCACCACATTCCCAATACAAACCTCTCAGAAATCCAAGAATTCTGTTTGAATCTGGCTTTTCATTTGAAAAAGTGTCATTGTCAAATAGAAAGCAGAACATATTTTATTTAACAATGTGTTGGCTTGATTTATAGCTTTAAATATTTAATATGGTATAGGGGTCTCCATATGTACGCCTGCTCTGGGACCCACAAATATCCAGCCCCTGGCTATCACCTGGGGGGGCTGCCCACCCAGGCAAACCAGCTCACTAGAGTTTCCTGAGAGCTTTAAAAACTTCAGAGCCACGCACCGCAGTCACCCCGGCTCTTCCCAGACAACCTCCACCACTACCACCTGCTGTGCTGTGGGCGAAGGCTGAGCATTCGGAGGGAGATTTTTGTGGAAGGTGACTGTCCAGGACATCAAAAGGTCATATCCAAATATTCCTGCTCCCCCTTCCTTGCCCTGTCATGTAGCTACTACCCACAAATATCTGGAACAGTTTTATTTTCAACCTGTAGGCACTTCAGGATAAAACATCCATAGTGTATGACTCACCAGGAAAGGTGCAATTTCTTCAAAGCTGTTTCTTTCCCACTCCAGGAAGATCTTTTACTTCTAACAGGGTTTGGTAAACACACTGCGTCGTCCCTATCAATACTGACCATGATTTTTTTGTGGAGTCTAATCACCTCCCACCCGACACCCCACGTCTGCCTCTTTGCAGGCTTGAATGTCTGGTCTCTGCTGATGCCTCTCCGGTGAGGTCCCTGATTCTCCAGCGGCACAAGAAAATTACTTGTCCTTCTGCAAAGTTGGGATGAAGCCCAAAGCAGAACACCTCAAGTGGGGCACATGTTGTGTGGAATTTTTTTCTGCCCCATGATAATTTTTTCCAAAATGTTTGAGCTAAGCTGTCACTCCAGAAAGATGGGTCCTGTTTATCCAATGGCTTGGCATCCCCTAGGGCACCCCACATTGAGAAACAGAGAGGCAGTCTTGACTCTGAAGTTTCCCCTGCCCTCTTCGGCAGCCCTTTGCTGGCTCCATAGGTCCTGCCTTGAGGCTCAGAGACGAGGGGTCTGGAGGAACACCGCTCTGGAAAGGGTGTTGTAAGGCTTCCTGGGAATCCCACGTGGCACAGGAGCACCCTCCCCCCAGCATAATCACAAACACACTCATTGGATTTTGTCATTTCCCGAAGGACTGACTGGGAGGCTGGGTGGTCCTCCCTAAGTACTAACAGGTCTGCCTCCCCCCCATCTCTCCCCACAGAACCTGACAACTCACTGAGTGTCAGCATCCCGGAACCGTCCCCGCTGCGGGTCCTCCTGGGGAGCACCCTCACCATCCCCTGCTATTTCATTGACCCCATGCACCCGGTGACCACCGCCCCCTCCACCGCCCCCCTCACCCCAAGAATCAAGTGGAGCCGCATTTCCAAGGAGAAGGAAGTGGTGCTGCTGGTCGCCACTGAAGGGCAGGTGCGGGTCAGCAGTGCCTACCAAGACAAGGTTTCGCTGCCCAACTACCCGGCCATCCCCAGCGACGCCACCTTGGAAGTCCAAAGCCTGCGTTCTAATGACTCTGGGGTCTATCGCTGCGAGGTGATGCACGGCATCGAGGACAGCCAGGCCACCCTGGAGGTCGTGGTGAAAGGTGAGAGCCTCCCACAGGGACACTGCTTCACCTGCAGAAAGAACCAGAAGGTTCCCTCACCCGGGTGGACCCAGCCAGGCTGGCGTTCAAATCCCAGCTCCTCTCCCCACCCCACCAGTTCGCACCTCATTCAAACTTACTGAACTTCAGTTACTGCCTCTGCAACATGGAGCTGGCAATTTGCAGTCATCCTCTCTGGACATTAAGGGAATTAAACACTTCCTGGCCACAGTCACACGTAAATGACAGGTTACATTTGGCAACAATCCTGTAATTGGGTGGGACTTGTGATCCTCCCCATTTTATAGACAGGCAAACCGAGGCTGACCGGCTTGCCCGGAGTTTCCCTGGAAGCGAGGCAGAGCAGCCTCCTGGCTCTTCGTCTGGGTGTCCTCTCCCTCCCCAACCTCCACCCTCCATTCTCAGTTCCACAAGCCAAAGAGGGAGATAAAGTGTCTCCGGCTCCCTCTCAGCGGCCCGAGGAGAATGCCTGTGACCTTGGTTGGCTTCAGAACTTTGATCAGCGTCAGATTTTTCCCGCTGGGAGGCTCTGTCAAAGACGGCCCTCCTCTGGGCATACCTTAACAGGGCTCCCACAAGGATGCCCTTGGGCCGATGGGCATGGGACTCTAAGTGTCCTTCCCCACAGTAAATATAGGGTTCTAGAGTGACAAGAGAAAATCATAAGGAGACAGATTTTAGTTCAATTCAAAGAACTTTCTGATTATCAGAATTATCCTGAATATTCAGTAAGGCTGCTTTGTGAGGTAGTGAGTTCCCCATTATTAGAGGTATTCCAGCCAAAGTCGAAGGGCCACATGCAGACGTGGAGAGGGTTCCACACATCAGCCAGAGGCCTAGACCAGATGTTTCAGAGGCCCCTTTGACTATTGCTATAATTCAAGGGCCTGGATGATGGGAGGCTGTGCCTGACCTGCTCTCCCACCGGCGTGTGTCTTGCAGGCATTGTGTTCCATTACAGAGCCATCTCGACGCGCTACACCCTGGACTTCGACAGGGCACAGCGGGCCTGTCTGCAGAACAGTGCCATCATCGCCACGCCCGAGCAGCTGCAGGCCGCCTACGAGGATGGCTTCCACCAGTGTGACGCCGGCTGGCTGGCCGACCAGACTGTCAGGTGAGTCCCAAGGCCACGGGTGGAGCGAAGGGGCAGGTGATGGGTTGGAGTGCTGGCCAGCGCTGAGCTGGCACCAGTGTGACACCACAGCTGGCCTCGGTGGGGGCTGGAGGGATGCCTGAGTCAGGCCCCCGTGGCCTGTCCCAAATCCTCATTAAGCTGTCCTGTGGCTGCTCCCACGTCTGCTGTACATGAGCACTTTCTCCATGCAAGTTACGCATCATTGTTCTTCCTACCCATTGTTCCTTTAGCCATGATTTCTTCACCGACTTTTTTATAAATGTTGGTGTTTTATGTGTTTTTGTAAACCGCTTTACATTAGGCTTCTTGGCACAGATTTCCCTGAGCCCAGCTTTACCCCTGAGGAATCTCAGTGGGGAGCTAGCCTGTTAAGGCAAGATAAGGCCATTCCCCGGGGTGGATGGAGCCCTAAAGGCAAAAGCCAGAACCACAAAGCCTCAAGAAGAAAACAAAGGAAAATATTTTTGCAATATTGGGGTAAGCAAAGGAGATGTTAGGACACCAAACCCACTAACCATAAAAAAAAACAAAACAGATGAGGCCACAGCCTATGGTACAGGAATCCACATCTCACCTTGGAAAATGTGGGCTCAGCCACCCACCCTCGACTTCACCCCGGCTCCACACTTGGAGGCTGTGTGACCTTGGATGAATTGTTTAACATCTCTGGGCTCCAGTTTCTTCCAGGTTAAAATAGAGTCTTGGTTAAAATGAGGCTGATGTGAGACTCAGATGATACAGAGCAGGGGTCAACAAACCCGCAGGCCAAATCCAACCCATTTCTGTAAATAAAGTTTCATGGGACACTGCCAACCTGATCTTTAATGTACTGTCCACTTTGCCCTATAATGGCAAGGTGGAGGTCATGCAGAAATGCTATGTGACCTGCAAGACCTAAAACATTTACCGTCTGGCCTTTTGCAGGTTTTGCAGGCCCGTGATAGAACACTTTCGGGACCAATAGATATTCAGGAGAGGGGGCTGTCTGTAATCATCAATAACTGTGAAAATGTATATGTCAGTAAAGCTAGGGAAAAGTTGAAAAAACAAATAGGCCACACATCCAAGGCAGATAGCAGCAAGCATGCCAGTAAGTGGCTGTCTCCTCCCACGAGGGTGGCAGTACAAGGGCACAGGCCACGGCCCACCTCTGCTCCCTGAGTGTCACGCCCCCACTTTGGGTTCTGGGCAGGTACCCCATCCACATGCCAAGGGAAGGCTGCTACGGGGACAAGGATGAGTTTCCTGGCGTGAGAACCTATGGCATACGGGACACCAACGAGACCTATGACGTGTACTGCTTTGCGGAGGAGATGGAGGGTGAGGCCACCCTACCCCAACCCCAGTTCCCAAGAGTCCCTGCCAGTCCTTCACCCCATAGACACTCGGGATTCAGTGGGCCTCCCCTGGGGCACGGCACTAACCCAAGACACCCACGCTCGACCCCCTCTGCTATGTCCAGAGGGATGGGGGTGGGAAAGGGGAACGCAAGGGGCCTGCAGGTCAGGCCCCTCACGCCCCACTTTGGAGAGGGCCTCATGGCCCCAGGCACCTGCAGACTGCCCCACCCTGTCCCCCGCCAGCCAGGACTCCCACCAGTCTGACCAGACCATCGCTGTCCCAAGGTTCACTGCCTCATCAAAACCCAGCCCGGCCTGGTCACTAGCACAGAGGACACCCCAGGCCACTCCAGGGTGGATCCATCAGAAATACACCTCCCAGGAAAGCTGGCTGCCAGCCACCCTCTGTCAGCTTCCCTGTTGCCAATGGGTTGGTTCTGGAGGGCCCCAGGGCAGTGGGAAGGAATCTGCAGGCTTTGGTTGGTAAAGGGCACTAATTCTGGTCACAGTCAGAGCTGCCCAGTTTACCCAGGCATGGGGGTGACACCCCTCCTCCCCGTGCACCCATTCACCCCTTTGACATTCCAGCCCCTGCCAGCTCTGCCCCCTCCCCAGCTTACACCTGCCCCCCAGGCTGGGAGAAGGGCTGTCCCCAGCTTCTCATCTCCACAGCCCCTTTCTCCCCTCACCCCAGGGTCCAAACTGGCCAGTGAAGTAACATGTGATTGTGTTCCCGTTGGCTAACCAACACACTAACAGCCAATCAGAGCTGCCACTGAGCAGCTGATCATTCCAGATAGTCTGATAGTTCCAGACTGTCCCCATAACAGATGCCCACCACCCGCCTCTAGCCCCAGCACCACCTTTTTGCGTTTTGGGGAATGGTAAAAAGAGCTTGCAGGCCCCACTAATGCCCTCATGGACGCTTAGGGACCTAAAGACCTCCTTTTGGGACCTGCTGCTCTAAGGATTAAAGTCTGATGCCTGCTTTTCCTGCAATTGCTTGAGTGGGCAATGCTTAACTCACAGCAAGATGCCTTTGCGCGGAGACATTGCACAGCCAGGTGCAGGGCCTAGATGCTTCTGAGCAAGAGTTTTGTCCGGACCCTCTAGGCTTTCCCCACCTCCTTACCGTTTGGGCAGGTTCCTTCTTGGCCCTCTGGTTTTGGGAAACCAATGTCACCCTGCCCAAACGCCCAGAGGAAATGGAAGGCAGGACCCGAGATGCAGGCTTGCGGGACCAGGGCTTTGAGAAGTTAGAGGCCAAACTGAGTTAGAGGGCACCCAAGATCTGGAGGAACCACGGGGATTCCCTGGGGCTCGGGGCAAGGGCAGGCGTGAGATCCTCACCCATCACTTTGTCCTTTGCAGGTGAAGTCTTTTATGCAACATCTCCAGAAAAGTTCACCTTCCAAGAAGCAGCCACTGAGTGCCGGCGGCTGGGCGCCCGGCTGGCCACCACGGGCCAGCTTTACCTGGCCTGGCAGGCGGGCATGGACATGTGCAGCGCCGGCTGGCTGGCCGACCGCAGCGTGCGCTACCCCATCTCCAAGGCCCGGCCCAACTGCGGGGGCAACCTCCTGGGTGTGAGGACCGTCTACCTCCACGCCAACCAAACGGGCTACCCCGACCCCTCATCCCGCTACGACGCCATCTGCTACACAGGTGGGTCATGCCTGGAGGCCAGGAGGGGCGTCATGCCACCAAAACCGGGGTGCAGAGGAAGCCATCTTGGAGTGGGGCTGTGTTTAACACCTTCACGGGCCACTGGTGCCTGCATTCCATATTTAGCACCCCCTCCTTTAATTAGTTCCTAGAGAAGCTAAGATAGAATCACTGGAGGCTGCAGAGTATTCATCCCAGAATAGGGTTAAAGGCACCAGCCTCAGAGGCTGTGCTCTCAGATTTGAGTCGCCTCTCTGCCACCTGCTACTGCTCTGCTTGGCCATGGGAAACTCAAGGCACCAAGCCTCACTTTCCTCATCTGCTTGCTGGGCAGAAGGCAGTGCCAAGAGAGCGCTGCCAACTGCCCTTTTAAATTGCACACACTTAAAAGTAGAGCCAAAGTGTTTTTGAAAATGAGTTGGGAAAATGTTTTAACAGGCCCTTTATTTTGAAAATCTAAACGAAAACTTTTTAAAGGTTTTAATCTTGTGTTTTATGCATTGTAGGTTACAATTACAATTACATGCCAATTTTTGGAGGAAAACATATAGTGAATCATATGGAGTGACATAAATTTTATGATCAAATTGGTGATAGCACAATGACATAGCTCATTGCATGTTTACTTTTACAGTCGGATGTTACACGAAGTGGATCGTTTTGCAGAAATAATTAGGATTTCCCCCAAAGCCTCTCTTTAACCTTTCAATATTCTAACCACCCTTTTTGAAGGACAGTTGAGTATTGAACAACATGGGCTTGAACTGGGCAGGTCCACTTATACATGGACTTCTTTTCAATAAATATATCGGAAGAATTTTTGGAGATTTGTGGCAGTTTAAAACAACATTTTCTCTAGATTTCTAAAGTGTAAGGATATAATGCATGTAACATACTAAATGCATGTTAATCAACTATTTATACTATCAGTAAGACTTCTGGTCAATAGTAGACTATGAGTAATTAAGTTTTGGGGAACTCAAAAGCTGTATGCTGATTTTCAACTTTATAGGACTGGGTGTGTGGTGGAGGCGGGGGCAACTCCCACACTCTTCAAGGGTCAGCTGTGCCCTTGTGGATATTCTCTTTATTAATCATTAACTGGCTCTTTCCTGCCAGACCCTCATTTGTTCATGACTGAGGCAGGCATTTCTCTCACATCATTTTTATCAGTGTTATGAGCATCTGAATCTTCAGCAAGCTTTGTCAAGCCCGCTTGTAACTGACTTACATCGTCCCATTGGCTAGTTATAACACCAGATGGTCAAAGGTGCTCCAAAAATAGGTAAGGAGGCAGCTTCATGGGTGACTGATGATGTTGGAGCAGGACTGATTTTATGAGCAGTGACCTGACGGGTCAGTATCTTGTGCTATGAGGACTTTGCATTCTTTTGCAACCTAGGATCGGGAAACTCCTGTACTGAATTCTCAAATAGTTGAGGGCCCCCTGCAACGGACGCAGCAAGGAGCAAGGCACACAGTAGGGGCTTTCCTCCCTTAGCAGGGAAGGAGGTGGAGCCGCTGCTCATCTTTCTGAGGCCAGCCCCAGGCTGAGCAGCTAAAGCTTGTCTCTCCCCTCACCCTAGGTGAAGATTTTGTGGACATCCCAGAAAACTTCTTCGGGGTGGGTGGTGAGGAAGACATCACCATTCAGACAGTGACCTGGCCTGATGTGGAGTGGCCTCTGCCCCGAAACATCACCGAGGGTGAAGCCCGAGGCAATGTGATCCTCACGGCGAAACCCATCTTTGACGTCTCCCCCACTGTCCTGGAGCCCGAAGAGCCCTTCACATTGGGCCCTGACGTAGAGGCCAGCGCCTTCCCTGAGGCCACCAGGCCTTGGGGCCTGCCTGAGGTGTCCACACCTGCCCTGGGCTTCACTGCCTTCACCAGCGAGGACCTGGTCGTGCAGGTGACTGCGGTCCCGGGGGCCCCTGGGGCCCCTGGGCAGCCACAACTGCCAGGTGAGTGCGCACCCTTGGAGGGCTGCTTTGGGGGCCGATGGGAAGAGCTTGACCTGGGACTCATGCCTTCAACTTAACCTGAGACCTGGGACAAGCCTCTGTCCTCTCAAACTGGATTCTCCTTGTTTGCAAAATAAGGGCTATAGTCCAGACGAGTGACACCCACGCTGTTTTGCCACAAAGCATCTCCTTCAAAGTCATAGGTGGAAACCAACATATGTCCCAAGCAGGTAAAGGTGCCACACGGGTGTAGGTGAAGTGGACTGACCAGGGCTCCTCTATGCAGGGACCACCTCACCCCATCGGGCACCTCCACAGAACCCAGCGCCCTGTCCCTGCTGCACTGGGTGACCCTGGGGCCTCTCACAGTGCTGGCCTTCCAGCGCAGGGGTCAGTGTGCTATAGCCAGTGGGCCAAATCCAGCCCACCACCTGTTTTTGTTCAGCCCTCGAACTAAGAATGGTTTTACATTTTTAGGCAGTTGGGGAGAAAAGTCAAAAGAAGAATATTATGTGATATATAATGAAAATTCTATAAAATTCAAATTTCAGTGTCTGCAAACAAAGTTTCATTGGAACAAGGCCACACCTATTTGTTCATGTGTTGCCTGTGGCTAACTTAGGGCTCTGGTGGTAGAGTTGAGTAGTTGTGGCAGAAACCATTTCACCCTCAAAGACCAAAATATGTCCTATCCAGCCCTTTCTGGAAAATGCTTGCCAAGCCCTGTTCTAAGCTGATGGTGCTCCAGGTGTTCAGAAGTATCTGGAGAATTGGCATGTCACGTCCCATACAGCTCAGCAGCTCCAAACTCAAGTCCAAGAACAGGAAGGACATTCTGGGTAGCTTCCATAGGGGCCCCAGTGGTGTCCCCTCTCAGGGGAGGGACAGGTGATACTGCCATACATCACTGGCATCCATGATACCACCACGTGGGATTTCAGCCAGAATTGCCCAGATAAATACAATATGTTGGGATGGAGGAATTGTTGAAAAGTTTTGGCGTAATGCTAACAATGACTGAGTCCCAGGGCTGGAGAGGGCCCCCCTGGCCACCAGGTGGGAAGGGGGCAGTGGACAGACTGAGCATCTGACACAAGACACGACAAAGAACATGGGGGAGACTTAGACTAGGGACTCGCAGCTGTGACATGAACTGGCGAGTCCCCCAGGGAAATGTCAAAGACAAATATGAACCCAGCCAAATGCACTAGGCGCAGGAGAGTAACTGGGGGCTCAAGGACAGGGCTCTTCACTGTGTGGGGTCCAGGCCCTTTGAGAATGTGGCAAAAGCTGTGAGCCCACTCCCCAGCCACTTGCAGGAGGGCCACCCAGGCTCGAACCCCAGGCACTAGGCTGTTGGGAAGAAATGCCAGTGGTTGATTTCTTCGTTGGCCTTTTCTGCATTTTCCAAATGTTCTGTAATGAACATTTATATAATAAGAATAAATACATTTGTTTTAAAGAGCAGGGGACAGAAGAGCAGCCTGGGATTGAGGAGTCCAGAAAGGAGGGCTGAGGAGCCCACAGAAGAGTCCTAGAAAGCTCTCTCAGGCAGATGGATTTCAGGAACAGTTTGAACAAGCAGAGGGAAAAGCAGCTGCGCTGCAAATAGGAAAGAAAGGAAAGGATGAAAGGAGGTCATTCTTTAAGAAGCCAGGGCTCCCTCCAGGCCCTCAGAGCCACAAGCATCAGCCCTGTGGGGCCTGGCCCATGCCCCACTGAACCTGCCCTGTCTCTCCGTCGGTCCCTGTCCTCCCCACGCAGGGGTGGTGTTCCACTACCGTCCCGGCTCTGCCCGGTACTCACTGACCTTCGAGGAGGCGCAGCAGGCCTGCCTGCGCACCGGGGCAGTCATCGCCTCTCCCGCACAGCTCCAGGCCGCCTATGAAGCAGGCTATGAACAGTGTGACGCCGGCTGGCTGCAGGACCAGACCGTCAGGTGAGGGACCAGCCAAGCTCCCCTCCCGGCCTGGACCCAGCCAGGAGAGGCCGAGCCTGGGGAGCCTGGCACAGCACCCAGCACAGAGTGGGTGCCAGCTAGACTTGGAGTTAATCAGTTAGTGACACCATGGCTACTCCCAGAATTCTTCCCCAAAACTAAGTCATATTCTGAGAGGGTGGGGAACCTGGGTGACGTGAAGTCCTTGGTCATTTCTCCCAAAGAGACTTAGAGAGGGAGACACCTCCAGCCCCATCCCCAGGCCCCTCCAGCTTTACCCACCGACCCTGTGTACTGCACCCCCATCCTTTCCCCCAGCTGCACAGGGAACTTGCCACATGAGGGGCCCCTTCCTTGTTTGCATCCATGGGACAACACCTTGTCCAAATTCCCAGGTGACCTACAGGCCTCATCCTGGGGCCCTGCATCCTCCAGTCCCCAGAACAAACCTTCATCTGTGCCCCCCCATCCTTTCCAGATACCCCATTGTGAGCCCACGGACCCCATGTGTGGGCAACAAGGACAGCAGCCCCGGGGTCAGGAGCTACGGCGTGCGGCCACCGTCAGAAACCTATGATGTCTACTGCTATGTGGACAAGCTCGAGGGTACAGGCCACATTCTCACATTTTGGGCCCTAGGCAGGCAGGGGGCTGATGAGGAGACACCGAGGGTTGGGGGACGGGGGGAATTACCATCTTCCCAGCCCCTCCCACCCAGGGCCAAAGGCCTGCCCAGCCTCTCTTTAGGGTCAAACCCCTTCTCTCCCTCCCAGATCTTTCATGTGGATCCCCCAGCATTGTAGGGGACCACTGGTTCCTTAAAAAAGCAGTGAGTTCTGTGGATAAATGAATCCATTTATTATTACACAAAAATGGTATATATACCATCTGTCTCATGGAGAGAAGCCATGTCCAGGAACCAACCAAAGGCTCTGAGAAGTCCTGCAGTAAAAAACCTCCCTAACTGCTTCACCAAGCATTGCCCAAACTAATGAAACTACAGACCCTTGACTTTATTTTATTTCATTTCTTCAATTAAAATCAAATTAGTATTCCATTGAACTCAATTTTAGAAATGCTGGTATTCTCAAAAGACCTCAGCATTGCTACTCACTTGTTTTGGGACCCAGGCAAGTTACTTAACCTCAGTTTCCTTAGGCCTCAGTTTTCTCATAAATATGTAAAATGGGGCTGATTATTTTCTGATTATCAGAGACTTTTTGCATATTAGATGAGATGGATATGAAAAGTGCCTGGTACAAGTAGGTGCTGGGTAAATGTGAGCTTCCCCCAAATCAGACAGGCACCCAGGTACAGTTCTGGGTGTTGGGACCCACCCGCCAGCAATGGCTACAGGACCCGCCCCCTGCCCTCAACGGAGTAGGGGTGAGGTGGAGGTGAGATCCCCAGGTCCCCAGCAGTCGCAGTGCTGGTGATTAAGAGCTGTGGTGCAGGGGAGCGCTGGGAGATTGGGGCTTCCCCAAGGTGGTGCCTCTCTTAGCCACAGGAGGTGGTGTCTGAGTGTGACTGCAGGATCTGGAAAGGAGACACGGGCTGCTTTCATGTAGGGCGACCAATTCATTGCACTTGGGCTGCCCTGCCCCTGGGGAGCAGAGGCTGCTCTGGCTGTGGGCATGAAGGGTCACACCTACCACCTACCTCTGCCCCCAGGGGAGGTGTTCTTTGCCACACGACCGGAGCAGTTCACCTTCCAGGAAGCCCAGGAGTTCTGTGAATCCCAGAACGCCACACTGGCCTCCACGGGTCAGCTCTACGCCGCCTGGAGCCGAGGCTTGGACAAGTGCTATGCCGGCTGGCTGTCGGACGGCAGCCTCCGCTACCCTATCGTCACCCCAAGGCCCTCCTGTGGTGGGGACAAGCCAGGCGTGAGAACCGTCTACCTCTACCCCAACCAGACAGGCCTCCTGGACCCACTGTCCCGGCACCATGCCTTCTGCTTCAAAGGTATGCATCCCCACCTCTCCTCCATTCCCACCATGCCTGGGGGGCTGGGGGTGATTCCACAGGGATCACTTCTCCTGGCCCCTGTCCGCTCTCCCTATTCATCAAAACGAGAGGAAAGAGTCAGTCCCTCTGGGGCAGGGGCAGTTCTGGAGCTAGCATGACCGTGGGCTTTGACCCCAAGGCAAGTACATACTTCTAAAACTCCCCAGAGACAAGTAGGGAGAGGTTAGACCTTGAAGTCTAAAATTAGCCAGACCTGAATTTTAATGATGTCTCTGCTGCTTAGTAGCTGTGTGAGCTTAGGCAGTCATTTAAGCTCTCTGTTCCTCTGCTTCATCTCTAAAATAGTAACACTGTAGTTTCTACCTCAAAGAGTAGCTTAGTGATTAACTGGCATAGTGCTTGGAACATAGCAAATGCTCAATAAATGTTAGCTTTATTATTTAAATAAATAATATATACACACACATATACTTTTAATTTGTATGCCCTTGTCAAATTTTCTCCTGCTTCTAAATATTTTTCTGATGAGTTTAGTCAAATTATTTTATTATTATTCACTAAGCACCAGAAAGTCACATTTTTTATTGGCTCATGCTAAGGACCGGAGGCCATATCCTGTCATTGCCAGTGTGAGTTCTGAGAGTGATGTCATCAAACAACTTAGTGGGCGTGGCCAAGGCAGCATTGCTGGCTGCTGATTGGTTGAGTTCTCCCAGGGCCCTTGGGTCCAGAGGCACAGACTAGAATGTAGATTGTAGTAATGGCTTGTGCCATATTTTACATATTATACATCAAAAACTGAGTCTTTGTAAGAGATTCTGCAGAAGAGAGGCCCCAAACCACCCTGAAACAAAGTGCTGGTGGTGTGTGCGTACTGATATTGCATAGGACGCAAACCGCTCTTGTTAATTGAGGACAAAAGCCATCTTGCTGGACCTGAGCAGGCATGGGGTTGCTCAGGAAGGTTTTTGCACAATTCCGGCCCACCTCAGAGCCCTCCAGCTCTCCTAAAGAAGGGCAGGCCTGGATGGCTCATTGGTAAGAAGGACTCCTCACCTCCTCCATCCCCTTAGGTGTCTCAGCCGTGCACCTCCCAGGAGAAGAGGAGGCTGCCGCACCCACACCGCCTGCTGATGTGGAGGAGTGGATGGCTACACAAGTGGGGCCTGGCGTGGCTGCTGTGCCCTTGGGGGAGGAGACCACTGCAATCCCGGGCTTCACTGCTGAGCCAGAAAACCAGACGGAATGGGAACCAGCCTTCACCCCGGCCGGCGCCTCCCCCCTGCCAGGTCCGTGAAGCCTGGGCTCTAGGGCATGGCCTAAAGCCGTCCTCACCTGTCCACTGTCCACCTAGGGTGAGCCCCAGGGGTGGGTTCTCTCCCTGGGACCTGTGCCTGGGTGTGCTGCTGTGGGCAACCTCAGCCACGTCCGCTGGCCTCTGGGACCAGCCCCCAAGGGAAAGAAAGGGCAGGGAGGCCTTGTTCATAAAACACCTCTGTCCCTGTCTCCCTCCCTCTCTTTCTCTCTTTCCTCACTCACTGTTCCCTTCCCTTGAGGTTTCCTGCCTGCAACACCCCAGATGCCCAGCGCTGTGCTGATCAGAGAGCTCACTTTGTTCCCCTGCATTTACAGCCCTACCCCTAGCCTCTTAAAATCTCTCTTACGGGAGGATCTCCAACAGAGGCGAAAGGCCCTGGGAGGGGCAGTTGTTGGAAGTCTGGCTGTAACCTGTCTCCTTGCCTTGCTCCCCTTCCACATCTTGCCTCTGGGCCACACATCCCCAGCCAGGACTGCTGAGCTCCTTCTGTCAGGATTAACTCACATGGGGCTTGATGGGATGGGAGTAGTCGTCCCCCAAAAAAGTGTGTTCTGGCCAGAAGGTTTGGGAAATGCTAGTTTACAGAATGATCAACAGTTTTCCTCACTGCAGACCTTCTCAGAGCCTTGGATATGTTAATATGCACTGTATCGCAGAAGAGGTGATGTATTGGATGTGACCTAAATGAATCTGACCACAGGACCTTTTTAAATTTTTTTCATAGGACATTCTTAACATCATTGCCCGGTATGGTTAAGGCCTAATTATAAAGCAATGCTCAGGAATGCATGTGCACCTAGTAGAGTCAGCTTGCCCTAGTTGGGCATGTCTACCTATACCACTGTTTATTCTACATCTTTTTCTTTAAATTGACTTGCTTTTATAAAAGAAACCTAAATTTATTTAAAAGGAAAGTGTTATATCTTAACTGTAAGTGGCCACCCAGAATGTTTCTGATATATATATATATACATACACACACACACACACATATATATACATACCCCTAAAATCATCTTGCATGCCAGTAGTGCTATTCTGAACTTGGTTCCAGGTTCCAGGATTCTCTACACCGCCCGGCTTCAGGATTCTCCTCTAAGTGAGAATAGGCTGTGAGTGGGCTCCGTGGGACCCGGCACCCTCTGTGCTTAGGTTCTCCACCTGGGCAATTAGCCCGGGAGTACCTGCCAGGTACAACCCCAGCTAGGTTATTTTTAAATGCCAAAGGAAACAAGATGGAAAGAAAATTATGGAACCATGATTCTTTAGAATAATGGGGTTTTCTTTTCTTTCTCTATTTTCTAAAACCTCTGTAATAGGACTCTCAGAATTGAAAATGTTGAAGATTTTCTGGCCTTCCCTGCCTCAGGGAAGTTTTAGATGACCGAGGCTCACACACAAGCAAACGTCAGTATTATTGGAAGGGCTTATATAAACAGCATGCTGGCCCCAACCCCAGGGTCCCTGGGGTACAGTCTGAGAATTTGCTTTTGTATGAGGCTCCAGGGGAGGCTGGGTCTGCTGGTCCAGAGACCTCACCTGAAAACCACAGATTTAGAAAAGTGAGAGGATATGGTAGAAGCCCTTGAAAGGTGTCCTTGATTGCCTCCAGTGGCACCTCCACCTAGTCTCACAAAGCACAGCCTGAGGATGGCGGGGAGCTTTCTGGTCCCCCGCCTCCTTTCTTCCCAAGACACTGGCATGTCTGAACACATATCTGAGCTCTTGAGAGAGAAGTTTTAGTGTGAAAGGAATGGAGTTCACCTTCTCTTTGTGAGCTTAAAATGGGGCAGAGTTACTAAACCCACACCTCCTCTTTCCTCTCCTTTCATCCAGGAATCCCCCCTGCATGGCCTCCCACTAGTGCAGCACCAGAGGAGAGCACAGAAGGGCCCTTGGCAACGCAAGGCCCCTCGGCCTCAGAGGAGCCGTTCACGCCTTCACCCCCAGTGCCCAGCGGGACTGAGCTGCCAGGCTCTGGGGAGCCATCCGGCGTCCCCGAAGTCAGCGGTGGCTTCACAGGCAGTGGAGAACCTTCAGGACGCCTGGACTCCAGTGGGCGGCCCTCAGAGGGTGAAGATACAATTACGTGGACCAGCACTCCCCAGGTTGGAGGTGAGGGCCCAGAGGGCTCTGTTTCTGGAGTTGAGGACCTCAGTGGGTTGCCTTCTGGGGAAGAGGTTCACCCTGAGACCTCTGCCTCCGGAGTTGAGGACCTCAGTGGACTTCCTTCTGGGGAAGAGGTTCACCCTGAGACCTCTGCCTCTGGAGTTGAGGACCTCGGTGGACTCCCTTCTGGAGAAGAGGTTCACCCTGAGACCTCTGCCTCTGGAGTTGAGGACCTCAGTGGACTTCCTTCTGGGGAAGAGGTTCACCCTGAGACCTCTGCCTCCGGAGTTGAGGACATCAGTGGACTCCCTTCTGGAGAAGAGGTTCACCTAGAGACCTCTGCCTCTGGAGTTGAGGACCTCGGTGGACTCCCTTCTGGAGAAGAGGTTCACCTGGAGACCTCTGCCTCTGGAGTTGAGGACCTCAGCGGACTTCCTTCTGGGGAAGAGGTTCACCCTGAGATCTCTGCCTCCGGAGTTGAGGACCTCAGTGGACTTCCTTCTGGGGAAGAGGCTCACCCTGAGATCTCTGCCTCCGGAGTTGAGGACCTCAGCGGACTTCCTTCTGGGGAAGAGGTTCACCCTGAGATCTCTGCCTCCGGAGTTGAGGACCTCAGTGGACTTCCTTCTGGGGAAGAGGTTCACCCTGAGATCTCTGCCTCCGGAGTTGAGGACCTCAGCGGACTTCCTTCTGGGGAAGAGGCTCACCCTGAGATCTCTGCCTCCGGAGTTGAGGACCTCAGCGGACTTCCTTCTGGGGAAGAGGTTCACCTGGAGACCTCTGCCTCCGGAGTTGAGGACCTCAGCGGACTTCCTTCTGGAGTAGAGGGTTATCCAGAGACTTCTGCCTCTGGATTAGAAGACATCAGTGGACTTCCTTCTGGGGAAGAGCTTCATCCGGAGACTTCTGCTTCTGGAGTAGGGGGCATCAGCGAACTTCCTTCTGGAGAAGAAGGTCTAGAGACCTCCACTTCTGGAGCTGAGGATCTCAGTGGGCTCACTTCTGGAGCCTTGGACCTTGGCAGAGTGCCTTCTGGAACTCTAGCAAGTGGGCAGGCTCCAGAAGCAAGTGGCCTTCCTTCTGGGTTTAGTGGTGAGTATTCTGGGGTGGACCTTGGAAGTGGCCCATCCTCTGGCCTGCCTGACTTTAGTGGACTTCCGTCTGGCTTCCCAACTGTCTCCCTAGTGGATAGTACATTGGTGGAAGTGGTCACAGCCACCACTGCAGGTGAACTAGAAGGGAGGGGAACCATTGGCATCAGCAGTGCTGAAGAAACCTCTGGGCTGCCCTTCCATGAGCTGGACATTAGTGGGGGAGCTAGTGGACTCCCTTCAGGAGCTGAACTCGGTGGCCAAGCATCTGGGGCTCCTGACATCAGTGGGGGAATATCTGGATTCTTTGAGGTTAGTGGACAGCCATCAGGATTCTCTGGGGAAACATCTGGAGTAACCGAGCTTAGCGGACTATCCTCTGGACAACCAGATGTCAGTGGGGAAGCTTCTGGAGTTCTTTTTGGCAGTGGTCAACCATTTGGCATAACCACCAACCTGAGTGGAGAAACATCCGGGGTCCCTGATCTCAGTGGGCAACCGTCAGGACTGCCTGGGTTCAGTGGGACAACATCTGGAATCCCCGACCTGGTTTCCAGGGCTGTGAGTGGCAGTGGTGAATATTCTGGCATTACATTCGTGGATACCAGTTTGGTCGAAGTGGCCCCGACTATATTTAAGGAAGAAGAAGGTTTAGGGTCCGTGGAACTCAGCGGCCTCCCTTCAGGGGAGGCAGATCTCTCAGGCACATCTGGGACAGTGGCTGTCAGTGGACAATCTTCTGGAGCAATTGACTCCAGTGGCTTTACACCTCAGCCTCCAGAATTCAGTGGCCTGCCACGTAGAGTGACTGAGGTCAGTGGAGAGGCCTCTGGAGCTGAGACTGGGAGCAGCCTGCCCTCGGGAGCATACGATGGCAGTGGACTTCCGTCTGGTTTCCCCACTGTCTCTCTTTCGGACAGGACTTTGGTGGGACCTATAACCCAGGCTCCAACAGCCCAAGAAGGAGGAGGAGGGTCTTCGGGCGTTTTGGAACTCAGCGGTGCCCATTCTGGAGTGCCAGACATGTCTGGAGACCATTCGGGAATTTTGGACCTAAGTGGGCAGCAGTCCGGGATGGTAGAACCCAGTGGAGAGCCATCAAGTACTCCTTATTTTAGTGGGGACTTTCCTGGCACCGTTGATGTGAGTGGGGAATCGTCTGCAGCCACGAGCACCAGTGGGGAGGCTTCAGGACTTCCGGAAGTCACGCTGATCACTTCTGAGTTCGTGGAGGGTGTTACTGAACCAACTGTTTTCCAGGAACTTGGCCAAAGACCCCCTGTGACACATACCCCCCAGATTTTTGAGTCCAGTGGAGAAGCCTCTACGTCTGGGGAAATTAGTGGAGCTACCCCAAGGTTCCCTGGGCCTGAGGTAGAAGCGTCGTCCGTCCCAGAATCCAACATCGAGACGTCTGCCTCTCCTGAGCCTGGGGTGGGGCTGTCTGCTGCCCCTGAGGCCAGCGGAATTGCTTCTGGGTCTCCTGATCTGAGTGGAGCCACCTCTGCCTTCCATGAAACTGATGTGGAGGGATCCTCGGGCCTGGGAGTGAGCGGTAGCACCTCAGCCTTTCAGGAGGTCCCCAGGCCGGGCTCAGCCACCCCAGAAGTGAGTGGTGAGTCAACCATCACCTATGATGTGGGCACAGAGGCACCAGGCTGGCCTTCAGCTACTCCCTTGGCTTCTAGAGACAGGACTGAAGTCAGCGGAGACCTGTTTGGTCACACCTCTGGGCTGGAAACTGTCACCAGTACTAGTGTCCCAGAGTCTGAGTGGACCCAGCGCCCCGCAGAGGCGCACCTGGAAATTGAGTCCTCAAGCCCCTTGCATTCAGGAGAAGAGGACCAAACAGCCAAAACAGCCACCAACCCACCAGATGCTTCCATCCCATCTTCTCCAGAAGAGACAGAGAGATCAGAGGCAACCACTGCAGGTACCATTCACGTTTTTTTCCTTTAAACATGTTTGTGTAGTTCGGGCTGTCGCACAGTGGGAGGCAGTGTAGATTCAAGGTTCTGACCACAGCCCCACCAAAGATGAGCTGTGCAACCTCAGGCAAGTTTCTTAACCTCTCTGAGCCTCATCTGTAAAATGGGAATCGTACCAGGGAAGATTAAACAGGTTATAAATATATAGAGAACAAGCACTCAGCATCATACTTTGCACACAGCACACCTTTAAAGATGAGTAATTGTTATGTTACAATGGAGTCACCTCTCGAGAACACTTATATGTGAATCCCACTGTCTGTCGTGGGCACAGAGAGAGGAAAGGTGACTGTCTAGATTGTGCTACAAATTCTACTCATGACTCTTTCCCATGGGGTGAGTGTGAGATGAGAGAATGAATCTACTGATGACGTTTGTGCCCAAATATTTACTTTACACAGGGTTAAAACCTGCCCCATTTAAGACACTATGAAGTGTCATTTTGGCTGTGTCCTTTTGGCCCTGTGTCCCCCCCGCCATCCTGGTACAGGTGACTCCTCTGTGCTGTGGTGGTTGTGTCACCGACACAGTCCTGGCACCGGGCACCAGACACTAATGATTTCCCTTTGCTTTTTGCTTTGGAATCCTTTGCCCCTCCCCAGATGCTGGGAGCAGCGCCCAGGAGGGACAAAGGCCCCAGAAGCATGCTGACCCAAAGCCAGCCTCATGGGCTTAGGGGTCCCAGGCCTCGACCTTGAGGGCTCGGAGGTTATTCTGTACCCCGGGCAGCTATGTTGCTGATGCTCAGCCTCTCCCCAGGGGTTGCAGCCCTGCCCGGGTCCTGTGCTGAGGAGCCCTGTGGCGTTGGGACTTGCCAGGAGACCGAGGGACACCTCATATGCCTGTGTCCCCCTGGCCACTCTGGCACGCACTGCAGCATAGGTCAGACCCACGTTGGCTGTGGGGAGGCAGGCAGAGAGGGAGGGGACTCTTCCCCAGGAGGGGCCACCAGTGGGAGGGGACTGCCAAGGTCAGCTGACACTCAGGCTTCTTAGACCCGGGAGGGAGAGGTTCCCAGTGACATTCCAGGTAGGAGCCACGGGATAAACACGACACCCCTTTCTAGAATGTCCATTCCACATGACCACTTATTCATTAAGTAATGAAACTGGGAAGGTGTTTTTGTCAAGCTGATGATTGTTTTATGAGTAGACTGCAAAAAGGTTTGCATTTTGAAGATAAAACTTGACACTTCAAAGAAATGCTGAGCTGGGGTGTGTACTGGGCATAGCTGGTCACACCCCACTGTCCCTTTAAGGAAACCCCAGGGCACTATCCTGCATTATTTAGAGCAGACCTCTCCAGGAAACCCTTCCCGTCCCCTCCATGCTTGGGTCCAGGCGGGGTCTGGGTCCCCTTCTCACACAGAAGGAAATGACACAGACCGTGCTTGTCACCCCCACTCCAGGATTCACGGCTGCAGGTCAGCAGCGCCTTGCTCCTGGGCACCTACCACCCTGGGCCCTCTGGGGAGGGAGGCCCATCCATCAGGCAGTCTGAGGGACAGGGGAGCCTAGGGAAGCCTTACTGGAGGTAGCCCCCAAAGCCAGATGATTAGACTCGACCTTTTGTTCTCTGAGCCCCTCCAGGCCTGTGGCCATGAGGGCATTTCACCTTGGCAGCATCTTGCCAACAGCTGACCAGCAGCTGACCACCCTGGCGGCAGGAAGTGCCTAGTTATCTCCAAGCTCACGCTCTCAGGTGACCGCTCTGCACTGCCCGCAGGCCTTTTCCCCAGCCTCTGTCCCAAATCAAGAATCACAGACCCAGGGTCTTTCATAAAAGGGCTCCAGTCCTAGGGCATGTGCGAAATCAGAGCCACAAATCCCAGAGGAATACAGCTGGTGCCAGGTAGACAGTGTGCCAGGCGACTCTCCTCCATAGCCTTCCCATCATGCACAGCGAAGGTTTCTGTGTTTATATATATTGATACGTATGTAAATCAAGGCCTCATTTCATGTAATATACTCACATATAAATAGGCTACATACTTGGCATGTACACAGGAAATACATATGTATTCATAATCAGGCACTAGGGTGCATATCTGTTCCCTCTTTCCCCCTTGGGGTCAGCCTCTGCCCACAGGTGGGGGCTCTGACTGAGAACGCCATTGGCCTCCATGGCCAGAGAGTGTGGGCTCTTCTAGGAAGGTCCTGGCCTTGCCTTAACTACCGACGGGACAGTATTTCCTGTGGACCACAGTGACCCCAGGGACAGTAGCTGTGTCCCTCCATCATCAAATCAGAAGCAGTGACAATGGACCTTAACCACTGTGCTAGAGGGACAGCCTTCCCCTGCTTATGTATGTTTCCAGAGGGCCTTCTTTCCCGTGCTTTCTCCCCAGACAGCCCCTCATCCCGATCTGAAACCGCAGCATGGAGAGGTTGAGTAATAGACCCAACTCTTAATGATAAGAAACTCCTTCTTGAGCGTAATAACCAGCTGCCAGTCTCAAAGCGCTAGAAGCTGGACTTCGGGGGAACCAGAATGGAGTGGGCGGGGCCCTGGGAGTTGGACTGGTCAGACACTTCACAGGCAAGCCCTCACCACCTCATTTGTAAATAGAGTCAAAGGCTCTGGTTCTCAGCTTTAAAATTTTCTGATGCCTAGGTCCCACCTCCACAGATTCTGATTGAAATAGTCCTGTGGCCTGGGCACTGGGGATTTTTTTTTTAAAGCCCAGGTGACCCCAGTGTGCAGCCAGGGCTAAGAAACACTGCTGTAAGGATTGAGCTCCTCAGTGGACGGCGTCTGGCCAGAAGAGGCATGAATAAAAATTGGTCCGCCTTCCCATCTCTCACTCCACTGTTTATTAGGAAAAGCTTTATGGTCTCCAAAGAGCAAGGAGTGAGGGTCACCCGAGTGAAACCTGGGGTCGCCTTGTCCATGACTGTGCCCCTGGAGTCCCAAGTCACTCCTGATCGATTTGGCTCAAGACTCGGTGCTTCCAAAAGGACTCTGGGTAGTTTCCCATCCCCCCAGGTGACCACGGGATAGGGCTGGGGGTGGGGACACACTTTAGGAGGTGCACTGGGCTCCAGCACCCAGTGACTGGGAGGAACTGTTTGCAAAGGGCTTTGCCACACATAAAAAGCAAAAAAATAAATAAAAAAGTCTCCAGTCTCCTTTATCTTGCACTAGAAGCAGGAACCAGAGGTTGTTAAAAGACCACGGATCAAAGTTCTCTGGGGGCATAGATAGCAGCAAAACCTGGCATTTTTCCTGCAGCAAATTTGAATACTCAGAGAAAACTTTCACCTAGTAAAGGAGATTGGAGGTTGTATTTAGTCCCCAAAGAAAACACTTGACAATTACTGTCACCTGGTCTAGCCAGCATTCCATAAACAAGTTCTTGATTAATTATTAATCTGTCCTCTTGACATAAATATAAACATCTGTTTAATGAATACTCAGATTCTCCAGCAATTAAAAGCAGCCCATCCCTGTGGGATCCGCGTAGCCTCAGCATCCTTCCCACCTCCACTGCTTTTATCTCCTGTGGGGATCAGATTTTTGACCCTGAGGTTTCAATCCTGGTGGCTGCTTAGAATCCCCTGGGATATTTTAGGAGGTACCCTGCCTGGGCCCCACCCTGAGATATTCGGTTTCAGTTGGTCTGGAGAGGGAAAGTGGCATTGGTGTTTTTTTTTTTAAGTCTTTAAATTAAAAAAAAAGAATTTTTTTTTAATGACCGCATTTTAAATGTGTAGCTAAGATTGAGACACACTCTTCTAATTAGTTCTCACATCCAATTTTCCAGCAATTGCTGGTGTTAACATGGGTTTCTCTAAACTCGTTGGTTAGAAGGGCACAAACTTAATAAAGTCAGTCTCTTTTCTGTTTTACTGCCATTTTTCACTTTGTAGGCTTGGGGCTCTAATCTCTGACCTGACACTGTCTCTTCCCCTAATGGGGAGATGTTTGAATTTCAAAACGTTATCCCTGGGAAGAAATGCTTTCAAAGCAAGGGGAAATACAGGGCTACTAGTGAAAATACAAATTATGCCTCTGGAACTGACTTAGCAGATTTCAACAGGCAACTAATTGAAGAAGCAGGATATGAAAGTTATACTCGTGATCAACCTTTAAAAATGTAAGGCTTGATAGTATAAATGATTATGGCATACTTTACTTAACAGTGTTTATTTTAGAAGCATATTGATAAATATGCTTTTAGAATCCTTCTATCAACTGTGATACAACAGAAAGCAAGTGTATTTACTCAAGTTTGTCCATCCTGATTGATCCTAGGTCTTTGCAAGGAACAGAGCATCCACTGAGTTAAGAAATTACCTCTGTGCTTCTTGAGTGGATTTTCCCCCATCCTTGTCCAGAAATTTATGTCCAGGGTCACCATATACAGCTGCACAGGTTGTGCACTGAACAACTTGAGGGGTATCATTCATACCATAGTCATTATGAATGGCAACCCTTTTAGTGGGGTATCACTTGAGTAAAAACACCCACTGTCTCTCTTCATTCCAAACCTTTCTCTGAGCCAAATAAACCCTCTCACTTGGAGGTCACTGGGCTCTGACCCAGACAAAAGCTGGACAAGAACCTATTCAGGGTGGAGGACTGAGGTCTCCAAATCAGATGCCAAAGTGATTACCTGCAAGTATCTTTCTTCCCCCCGCCTTCATCCTCTCCCCTAAGTCAGAGAAATCGCTAAAGGGTCTTGTTCAGGAGCAAGCCGACCTTTTTGCTTATAGTAGTGGGAAGAAGATTCTGAGTTCTGACACTCCCCAGGGCCCGTGCACCCTTGGCTGGTGCAGCAGAAACGGTACCAAGATGCTGAGGTCCAGGACTCCAGCCTGGGACAATGGCCCAACTTCCAACCTCGTGGTCTAATCCTTTCCCTCCATCTCTTCTCATCTGTCTCTCCCACTTACCAGCACGAGCAGGTCACTTCATTTGTGTCCTTGCCTGTAAAATGGCATAATGACACCTGTGCCTTCGGGCTGCTGGGAGGATAGTGTGTGTGTGAGACATTGTGTCTGGCTTGGAGGAGATTCTTGAGAGATACTGGTTCTTTCTCTTCCTTCACACAGTCTGCCCATTGCCCAAAGCCCTTCCCACCCTCCACCTGCTGCCACCCTGTTTGGGGTCCCCGGCTCACAGCACGGCACAGCCCTCTCCTGCTTCCAGAAGATGAGCGACGTCCCAATTGCCCTCCACAGAAAGAAGTGGGCAGTGCAAGGCCGTGGGCACTCCCAGCCAGAGGAAGAGGGGGGGAGGCACCACAGGCCTAGGTGGCAGCTAAGAAAGCCCCACACAGGACACCCCATCCTCTTCCTACTGCTGAAGGCCTCTCTAAACCGCCACGGTGGCCCTCACAGGCCCTCTGTTCCAGGATTGCAGCCCTTTTTCCTCCCTCCCCTGTGACCCAGGACCTGCATAAAACAGCTTCTGAGCCCGGGCACTGGTTCCTTGAATTTCAGTCCCCTCAGCCGTCTCAAATGTTGTGCCCTCGCCAAGCCAGAAGGCAAACAGCACTGCCCTCTGGACCTCAGACTGCGGGGGGCAAGGGAACTAAGTCCCTGGGACAATGGGGAGCCACCTGGCCCGACCTCCCTTGGGGCCTCTGCCCTTCCTGCTCTCTCCCCAGGGGTTCGCCACAGGAGGGGGCATGTCTGGCTCTTCTCCCCCAGGCCACTCCTGTGCCCTGCTCTGTACAACTGCTTCAGCGCCTACATTTGCTTAATGCCCCCTTGCCCAGTGCTGCCTATGTCCCATAATGATGCTAATGGACAAAAGAGAACAGCAGCTCTTCTGAAGCAGGACAGCGCCCCCCAGCTTCTGCCCAGCCGACAGCCTGACCTATTGCCGCTAGTGCTGCTGGGAATCCTGGGGCATGCATGCTGCAATTTCAGTCGGTTCCTCCGTGCACTTGGTTTTGCTTGCACCAGTTCCAAACTCAGAACTGCTGGTTTCTCGTCCATGGTGTGCACTCCCTGAGACGAAGTTAAGAACATCACGGGAAGAGAAAAATACCGAGGACTTGAGATGTTTCAGGCCACCCATTGCACAAAGCCACTGCTGGTCCAGAAGACCTCTACTATCTACTAACCAAAAAGATCCAGAAGAAAGTGCTCCTGCCTTCTTACCAGAGGTTTGCTCTTATGAAAAGCAAAAACTAAGTCCGGGAGCCTATTTAAGACACTGTCCACATGGATCCCACCCACAGACACATGGCGTCCTGAAGGTTATGCGAACACAGGTGCACATAACCAAGGCTCAGCCATGTATCCTGAGGCCCCGTGAGCCAGTGGAATCCACTCACTGCAGGATTTTATTGATCTGCTGGGAAGAACTGATCACGTTCCCAGGGAAGTAACCCGGAGAAGACCAACGGGAGCCTTGGGAGTACGGTCCCAAAGAGCGTGGAAGAGCCACGCTCTGGATAGCTGGCTTCAGGGAAGGACGCAGAAAGACCAGCTTAGGAGGTCCACTGCTCACCTTGGCTAGTGGATGCTAATTTAAGGCAAAGGCCAATGACTTACTGATTCAAGTCCTACAGAGAAGTTGGGCCAGAAAGAACATCTCAGGCCAGAAGAGCAGAAGGGAAGGAGACCCTGCCTAGGAAGAAGAGGCTTATGGGGACCTGCCTGGGTCCCAGGCTGGTGTTGGTGGGTGGCCACTTACTAAGTGCCTCTCCATCTTCAAACACTNTTGGGCCAGAAAGAACATCTCAGGCCAGAAGAGCAGAAGGGAAGGAGACCCTGCCTAGGAAGAAGAGGCTTATGGGGACCTGCCTGGGTCCCAGGCTGGTGTTGGTGGGTGGCCACTTACTAAGTGCCTCTCCATCTTCAAACACTGGTCTCCCACTGGCCATGAAGGAGCCCTTCCAAAAAGTGTGACTCACTGAAGATGTGCACATTCTGCGACCTTCAGCTCAAGGAGAAGTACGTAGGGATATGTTGGGCTGGGTTCCTGTCCCTCCCCTCAAGAGAATGATGGTGGCTTCATCGTTACAAGATACTCTAGAATCTTATTTACTGAAGACAAGGTGTCTGCAATCCAAAAAATCTAATGAGTCCCATGCGAATATCTACGTTGCCATTTTCTCACGGTCCTGAACTCTGCAGACCACTTGTAGCTCGTTTGTTCTAGCACTGCACGGCCTGGCCCTCTTTCCTGGCTCGTAACTATGGAGGAAGCCAGGAAAAGAAAGCTCTCACCAAGCCTCAAGACCTTGATTTCCAGCATCCTTGCTCAGCACCATGTTCAGAGCCAGTTCAGACCCCAAGACCTCTTGCAATAGTCACGAGAGAGGGCATCATGGAGAGCCACCATGCCCACTCTCACCACAGGTGTTTGCCTCTGGAAGCACCAGCTCTCTGGGCACTAGGAAACCTGGCTGCAGCCTCCAGGCTTGCTGATCAAGAATCACATGCCTCCAAGACCCACTGTTGGCTCTGTGCCCAGCACTCGGGGACACAGCAGGGCAGCAGCAGCGGTTCCTGGGAGCCCAGCCCCAATCCAGCCCCACGCCACCCGTGCCGCACCGCAGCGCGTGCCCGCTGGAGCTGCCCGCAGGAGTCCTAATGTGGCCCTTGGTTTCTTGCAGACATTGATGAGTGCCTCTCAAGCCCTTGTCTGAATGGAGCCACCTGCTTGGACGCCATCGACTCTTTCACATGCTTATGCCTTCCCAGCTACCGAGGGGACCTGTGTGAGATTGGTACGGCCGTCTCGGCTTCAGCTAACGTTACTAACTGCTACACCCCCTCCTCCCTCACCCCGCCTCCTAACCACAGGCTCTGGGCCCTGACTGGGCCCCTAAGGTCCATCCAGAGAGCCATTTTGGGGGCCACAACTGAGAAGGCTACCCCGTCGTGCCCACCCGTCTTTTGCTATTTCCCTTGAAAGTCCTCCTCGGGGACACTGGCAGATCCGACTGCAGGAGAGACAGGCAGGCTGCATCAGCCTGCACTTTGGAAGGTGGGGTGCTGGGGGGCGCCTTTAAAACATTAACTTTCTGCAGGGCTCCCAGACCTGCTGCCGCCACTATCAAGGTTGGCGCACGCCTGAGACTAAGAGGATGGAACGGGTTGATTTGTCCCGGTGCATTTGTCCTGAAGGAAGCTGCGGGTGGGAGGAATTTGTGCTCGCTCCTGACGACAGGCGCGGACCTTCCGGCTCGGGCATGGGCATGGATCTGCCTGCTGTATTGCCCCGGGGGCCTTTGTGGCCTCTCCATGGCCTGGGGAGCCGCTGTGCCATGCTGGCCAAGCTGCATTCTTCTTCTCTGGCAAGAGCTAGGGTCTGTCTGCCTGAGACCTCCCGTGTCACCAGCAAGCCCAATTCTTGCATGAGCAGGACCGCTGCATGTCACCCCCTCCTCACCACCA